TAGGTTATGATTGCTGTACGACCCGAAAAAGATAATTTTTAATTTTTTGTCGTTTTTACTACAAAAAAATAGCTGGCCCCATTACATTTTAAGTTTATTTCAATCCTGTAAAAGCGATTTTAATTCTGTTCAGTATTTTCAAAGTTATCGTTCCAACTGCAATTGTCGGTAATTCCCGAACTTTCAGCATCCTCTTAAGGGGGTGATTGTATTGACTTTTCAAGAGAGAGCCATCTCCACTATTTTAAATCAGTGGTTACAAACAAAACGGAAGGCGGTACAAATATGTACAAACGACCTCGAAACAGCACCCGCTTGCGATTTTAAAATATCTTAAAAAATGGCCAAGTTGGCTCTTACTCCTATTTTGAAAATTCGGTACATTCTCTTGAAGGTACAAACGAAACGGAAGGTGGTAAAAACGTGTGCGATTGATTCGGAAATAGCACCCACTTGCGGATTTAAAATATCTTAAAAAATGGTGAAATTGGCTCTTACCCCAGTTTTGAAAATCGGTATACTCACCTTAAAGGGTGTAAACAAAACGGAAGGTGATATAAACGAGTACAAACAGAGCTTAATTTAATGCGCACTTGAAAAATTTTGTTTCATAAAGTCAGATGCCAGGTTCACATAGGTACGTACATAGTAAAATGAAATTAGCCGGTTTAGCTTGATATTTAAATATAAAAATGATAAACAGAGTTAAATGGAAAAGATGATTCGATTGAGAGATTAATAAAGATGAAAAGAGGAAAGTAAAGAGCGCCTGATACTTCGCTAGAACAGAAACTATATGAAAAATCATAACGAAAACAAACGACAAATGAATAAATGAATGAATAAATACAAAAATACGAGGGTTTTTGTGAACGGCGAGAGGTAGACATGGCGGCTTGGGATAACTTCTGCCTCTCTCCCTCTCTTTTCCTCTCTTTCTCTTTCTTTCCAAACATCTTTTTCTTTTCCTCTGATTAAGAGAACTGTGCGAAATACGGAGTGAGCGGGTGAAACTAAAAGCTAGTGTTTCTCAAAGCGCAAGTAGACTAAAGTGGAAATACAGGGGCAGCGGCGGATCGGGTGGTGTAGAAGGAGGCGGATGGTGGCGGTGGGCGCAAAAGGGGTAGCAGTGGAAACTATGACGTCATCGTTGAGAGGTTGCCCGGGCAACGGGAAATGTTCGTCGCGTCGGGACGCCGACGCGCGTCGCCACCGCCGCCGCCGCCGTAAAAATCAATTTAGACCTTGGCTAGGTGACCGCTCTGCGTTCGCACAGCGTTGCTGCGACGCGGTCGCTCCGCTCTCTCTGGTGAGGCGACGAGAGCCACGCTTCTCTGGAGGTGCCGGGTTGCCGACTGCCACCACCACACCACCACCGCGAACTACACGAGCTCGGGGCCGCGGGCCAAGCTCCGGCAGTCGCAAGCGGTCAATTCATCGAGCGGGTGCTCCGATCGTGGTGCTAGCGACGGTGTCGCGCGCGCAAAGGCACGCGTTCACACAACACATACACACATGTACGCGTGACGTACACGGCTCAGCCATCGCGTATACGCACGGAGTCGTCGGCGCGTACACGCATCAGCCACGCGTGCGTACGCATTGTTCGTGCGCACGACGCGTCGTGTCGTATCGCGCAGCGGGAGGAGCAGTGCTGTGGAGCAGTGGTGCAAAGCTCGGACGAGAGAGCAGTACTCGTGCACAAAGTAGTATCGGGCACGAGAGAGAAAGACAGTGAGAAAGAAAGAGTGAAGAGAGAAGGACAGGGAGAAAGTAAGAAGAAAGAGGGGGAGGAGGAGGAGAGAGAGAGAGAATCGAGTGAGTATGTGAGTGAGTGGAACATATAGTGAGCTTGCGGAGGATAGTCCAGAGTCCAGGCGGACGCACGAGGGTAAAGATCGACGTGCGAGTTCTCAGTGCTGGAGTTTGCGGAGACGCGCTATCTTCTCAGAAAGTATTCCATCGAGGAAGCTTTCGACCGACTGGCGTGCTTCCGGAATTTCCGGCTCGGCGAATCAACACGTCGCAAGGAACGAACAAGCTTGACAGACTGGATGCATCGCGGAAGAAACACGCGCGGTACTTGCGTAAGCAGTCGCGTGCGCCGATGAGAGAGTTTCGTACTTGCACTTCGGCAATTACCAGAAGTCACGAGGAGAGTCCGGGACCACACACATATACACACACACACACACATACACACACACATACACACACACACAAAACACATAACACACAACACACACACACACACACACACACAACACACACAAAGATAGACGCTGCGCGAAATGCGGAGCATACGCAATCGGAAAAAGTTCGCGTGTGTAGCCTGAGTGCTCAATGAACGAAACTCGGCATTCGATCTTCGAGCGATTGACAAACGCCTCTTTTTGTTTTGACACGAAGCACGGCGGAGCTTTCAAGAAGTACGCCGAGAAACTACGGACACTCGTCTTTCGTTGACTGTTTGATGTTTACTCGTAAGCGTTTTCTCCTCTATTCTATAAGCGGCAAAGCTTTATCTATGCGAATTTCAACTTTACGGACGTGATCAAGTTTACGATTGTGCGCTCGGATAATAGCAAAGGCTTTACAGAAGCAAAAGACAAAATTCTTCTTATCTTTATCCGGTTTACAAGTGATGGCACTTTGAAGAAAGTTCATCTTGATATACGATACAAGCTTATCTTAATATTCTGTGAAAAGCTCGACGTGTGACTTTTATCTGTTACGAAATGTATAAATGAAATTTTACAGAAATCTTTAATCTTCTCTCGCACAGACTTCTAGACTTATTTTTTTAAATCTTCAGTCTTTAAAAAGATTCTTTCTTGTTATCAAAAGAGAGCGTTATGTGAACTTGTTATGTAAACTCGTAAGGTTTGAATGTGAACCTGGCTCAATAGAAACACGTATTGAGTCTTGTCGACGAGCAATGTCAACGATAGCCGTCTCTACGAGGAGTGCACTCGTATCTATATAGGAAACCGACGGTGAGCTCGGAAGCTCAAGAATGTAGTGTTCTGGTGGGCGCTTGCTGGCGGAGACTCAAGCTCAGGCTTTCGCAGCGGCCAAGCAAGCCGAAACAGGTGGAAGATCTCCGGTGCGATACTTTGAAGAGTACTACGAAGAGCTATCGTGTGACTATCGATGATGGTGGAAGGCACGTTGCCAGAACGCGATTGGTTGGCCCGGCGCGCGTTTTCGTTCGGCTTGTACTTTGCTGCGTGCCGGTCGTCACTTCGTTAGTTCAATATTTCTTAGAGAGACCGAGCTAGAGAGAGGATTTGAGGAATGCTATGTGTGAAATGATGATCTTCGGGATTGAGTTTAGATCGTCGACGCCGATGTCATCATCGTCATCGTCGTCGTCGTCGTCGTCGTCGTCGTCGTCGTCGTCGTCGTCGTCGTCGTCGTCGTCGTTGTCGTCGTTGTCGCCGTCGCCGTCGTCATCATTGTCGTCGCGACGTTGGAGAGGCAAATATTGTTTGACCAGTTAGTTATGTCTCTTTAATGCGACTCGCGATTTTATAACGACGAATGCGGCGAGGCGCAACGGCTTTCAGTAAGAGACTATTTCGATATTTGCATTTTGAAGAGCAAGAGAGTGGCGATAAAAGATCGAATTTGAAAAAACCGAATTTGTTTTCCTGTGAGGAAAAATTTTGTTGAAAATATTAAGTATATGCAGCCGTGACGAATAGATAAATAAATTCATAGATAAATAAGCAAAACAAATAGATGGAAGTAGAGAGTTGCCGCTAGCAAGGAAGACATAGCAAGTAGATCTTGGACTTAAGAGCTAAGATCAGATTAGAGGAACATTAGAAACCGAGAACTTGAACTAATAATAGAGACAAAAGAGTAGCAACGTGATTGTTCTTTGAGAGTAATCTAGGCCAATAGTCGTACTACTCGATTGTGCGACAGGCTTGAAGAAGCATGAATCAAACAAACGTTAGTTTGAGCTGACCTAAGAAGAACTGTGGCAAGAAGCGATATATTCCACGCAACAAATTGGAGGAAAGAAGTCTTCAAGTTCAAAAGCTTTATTGAATCTGTCTATATAAAAAAACTCTTTGAAGAGTTGTCAGTTACAAATATAAAAAATTGTATCAAGTTTGTTGCAAGAAAAATATTTGAAGCAATTATTGAAGTAATAATAAACATTTGAGCGATGCACGATGCCATAAATGTCAGTTCGTAAATATTGAACTGACGAAAAAATGCTCTACATGGTCCAAGGATCTTATCCATCATCGAAGTAAGTGTCCACCATAAATGATTGATGCAGGCCGGATCATTGATGTTGGATTCGTCATAGATCTAGATTGAAGAGAGAGGAGGATTCGGACGTATAGTGGATTGTTTTGACGTGACAGAAGTAGAGCCGCCGACGTTTCGGGTACGGTCAACATTGGCTCTCCCGCTACCCTAAAAAAAAATTCCACCTTCAAGTATGGCCTCGGTGGCAGCGTGGCTGCCATTCGCTCGTGCGGCGGCGATCGGTTGGGTACCGATCGCCACACACCCACTGCCACCGCCGCCGATCCCGAAGGACCGGCGCAAAGCCGACGACGAGAAGCTACTGATCAACGTAAGCGGCCGTCGCTTCGAGACATGGCGCAACACCTTAGAGAAATATCCGGATACGCTACTCGGTTCGAACGAACGCGAGTTCTTCTACGACGAAGAAAGCAAGGAGTACTTTTTCGACCGGGATCCGGACATCTTCCGGCACATTCTCAACTATTATAGAACCGGCAAGCTACATTATCCGAAGCATGAGTGTCTTACGAGTTATGACGAGGAATTGGCGTTTTTTGGTATCTTGCCGGATGTGATCGGGGATTGTTGTTACGAGGACTATCGGGATCGCAAACGCGAGAACGCTGAGCGGTTAATGGACGATAAGCTGAGCGAGAACGGTGACCAAACCCTTCAGCAGCTGCTCGACATCCGGCAGAAGATGTGGCGAGCCTTTCAAAATCCGCACATTTCCACCGCCGCGTTAGTGTTTTACTACGTCACCGGATTTTTCATCGCCGTGAGTGTGCTGGCGAACGTGGTGGAGACCGTGCCGTGCGGTAATCGTCCGGGTCGCGCCGGCACTCTTTCGTGCGGCGAACGGTATAAGATCGTGTTCTTCTGCCTGGATACTGCGTGCGTGATGATTTTTACGGCCGAATACTTGCTGAGGCTGTTCGCCGCACCTAGCCGATGCAAATTTGCGCGTTCCGTGATGTCGATCATCGACGTGGTCGCGATACTGCCGTATTACATCGGACTCGGGATCACCGACAACGATGACGTATCGGGCGCGTTTGTGACGCTACGCGTGTTTCGCGTGTTTCGTATATTTAAATTCTCGCGTCACTCGCAGGGATTACGAATTCTGGGGTATACTTTAAAGTCCTGCGCTTCCGAATTGGGTTTTCTCGTGTTTTCGCTCGCGATGGCCATCATTATCTTCGCTACCGTCATGTTCTACGCGGAGAAGAACGTCGACGGCACCAACTTTACCTCAATACCTTCCGCCTTCTGGTACACGATCGTCACAATGACTACGCTGGGGTAAGTACGATTTTCATCAATAATGTATAATATACGTACGCAAATTATAATTCATATAATAAAATTTTTCAGATTGGTATTAAAAATGATGAATCATATTTTTCCTTACATGATTCATTGTATATACTTGGTATATATTATGTGGTATTCATTAAAGAATTGAAGGACTGTTGTAATTATGGAGTTAACCCATATTTTATAACATTTTATAAAAACGGAGAAAATAAACTTTAGAGTTCATTTTCTCCATTATTACAAAATGTAATGATTAGCTGCAGTAAGTTCTTCAATTATTTGAATGTAATGTATAAGCAATTATAATCAGACATTAATTATTAACACTTGTATCGACACGATCTAATGAATCATATTAAAAAGATATACACATTAAAAAGAAATTATTACAATTTTGGTTCAGCGAATAAATATTTTATTTGCTGTTTTCACTCGAAAAGTATACAGTATTTCACGATAAGTTATAATAGTAATGCATTCGCGCTTTTATGTTAAAAATGAAACAAGGCGATAAACCATTGAGAATACTAATAACTTTGTGGCTAATTTCTCCCTTTTCCATTGTTTTGAACTACGCATTGAATTCTATAGTATATTACCCGGCTAATTGGCTGCACTTGCCGAATTGTTGTCAAATTATACAGACGGCACGATTATTGAAGTTCGTGTACAGTTTCTTAGGGTTTTGCGAAACTCCAAAAAATCAAATTTGTACGCTTTGATTACATTTTATTACAGGCTTATTCAACCATTTGAACATAACTTTAAATAACTTGGTGTATTCTGTATATACACTTCTCAACAAAATTAA